AGAGGGATAAATGGTGATGGAGGGAGACTTGGCATCGGATGGTGAAAAAAGAATACAATATACAGATGATGTGTTATGGACTTGTACACTTGAAACATATATAATTTTATAAGCCAATGTCACCCCAACAAATTCAATTCAAAAAAATTTTAAAACATGCACACACAAAAAAAGATTCAAGGATGCGAGGGTTTGGGGCAAAGGGAACTTTCAGTGCAAGGGTGCAAGGGAGGCAGCGTGCTCCTGGGTCTGAGGACCCTACCTCCTACCCACTGCTGTTGCTGCTTTCTTACCTGCATGAATTCTCAAAGGCAATCCCTAAATCCGTTTCCTTCATCTGCAAAATGAGAAACATTAACAACTGTTTTCTACGATGATGCCTATGACGCTTCAAAAGGACCTTCTACTGTGTTTAGTAATCACCAGTCACACAAAGCATGACTATAATAACAAAATTACTCCTGTCGATATGCGCTCAATAAGAAGTCCGTCTGTTCTAGGATCCTAGCAGGCAGCAGTACCACTTTCCCTTAGCCCCTCATTTGAGCCAATGCTTCCACTTTAAACGGCTGCGAAGTTTTGTGCTAAGAATGGTTACCTGTAACTCTGATTATTCAGTCCTAGTTTTAGCTAAGGAGTTGCTGATCATGAAAAGAAAAGAAAACAAAAAAATATAAGGAAAATCTACTTTAGCCAATAACATAGAAAAATATAAACAGATGTAGGACATTCACCTTAAGGTCACGACCACCCTTTTTGCTCATGAAATTAATAATAATAATAATAATAATAATAATAATAAACTTTTGCTATGTACCAGGCACTTTCCTTAGTGATTTATCAGTGTTCAGTCATTTAATTTCCATAATAATTCACTATTTTTCACACTGAAGAAGTTGAAGCACAGAGAGTACAATTACCAACGTCTTAAGAGCAAATGGCAAAGCTGTAGTTTGACCTTGAGGCGTCAGTTTCCGTAGATAAGGCATCGGGCTGGCGTAGTCACGCTTCCTCTTCTTCTGTCTCCGTCGTCATCTGCCCAAGCTGCCCGAGTCACTTGAGCTGGCAAAGCTGAAGTGGACCCAACGTTTCTTTTTGCCTCCCATTGTAGTCACTCACATTCTAAGGAGATTCAAATCTTCCAGCTAGATTACAAAAATATCTTTTGTCACATGACACAGAGCAGTTTCTTTTTGTTCTTTCTCCTCCTTTGTACGGAATCGAGTTTCCAGATAGCTGGTTAATCATCCCCTTTTGTATCAGTTTATCTCACAGTATTAATTAAGACTTTACAGTCATTAAAGCAAGAGGCTCATAAAAAAAAAACAGCAAAGTTTTTCATGGGCATGGAGATTTTTTTTAATGAGCCCCAACTACACAGCTTTGTGGAAAGTGTCTACTTGCTACAACAAAATACTGTACCATACATTCCCCCAAATAGCCTGATTTTTTAAAACAGATTGGTAGTTGAATTCAACTTTTCAAAAAATCCTCCCCCAAGGATATATTTATTGATTTGAGAGGGGGAGGGAGAGAGAGAAACATCAACGTGAGAGAGAAACTGATAGATTGCTTCCTGTGTGAGCCCTGACCAGGGGAGAATCAAACCCGCACACTTTGGTGTGTGGGACGGTGCTCCAACCAACTGGGCCATCTGGCCAGAGAAACTTTCTCTTTAAACTACTGATCTCTTCTTGTTCTCTTTTGTCTGAATTCCTTCACAGAAAAAAAATCTTCTGCTGGCAAATATTCAATAAGCTTGATACCTTATGTAACACAAAATACTTATAAATATGTATATAACGGGACGTTTCTGTGTGCATTGGGATGAATAAGTGATTCAGCATGTACAGCATTCGGAATATATGTCGTCACGAGCAATAATGAGGAGAAACGTGGCTTCCTTTCTGGCTTCTAAATGAGAGATAAGCACCAAACAGCACTGCGACCCAAGAGATATGTTGCTTTCTTTCTCTTCTACATTTTCATGGAACAAGTGACTTATTCAGATACTAACATAAAATTCCGTTTAGTTGCAGCAATCGTCATAAAACACAAGTGAGTGACTCACTATTAAAATGTCGGCATCTCATTAGCATGGTTGAATTGGCATTAATGGCGTAATTACCATGAACTGCCCAATTTCATCGTGGTGTCTTCCTTGTGATAAGGCAGAGGAAGGCAGAAGATGCCAAAGGAACAGATCCAGAGGCCCCCCACCTTCCCTACCGAAGAAAGATGGCAAACACACCTGGAACAAAAATGATGGTGGTGATTGGTAATATTTATTGAATAGTTGTTCTTTGCCAGGTATTAGTCGAGTGTTTTACATGTACAGTAGGTCCTCACTTAATGTCACCAACAGCTTCTTGGAAACTGTGACTCTACGTGGAGTTATTTGTAACGACATCAAAATCCCTAGGCTGATTGACATAAAGAAGAGTTCGGCCCTTGTAGATTATTTCTGGTCACAAACACAACACCAAACTTCTAAATCAAGACCCAAAACACTGCCCTGACTGATTGGCTCAATAGCTTGGGCATCATCCCACAGACTAAAAAGTTGCCAGTTTGACTCCCAGTCAGGGCACATGCCATGGACCTGGTCCCCTGATGACATCAATGTTTCTCTGTTTCTCTCTTCCCCTCGCTCTAAAATTAAATAAAATCTTTAAGAAACAAGCCCCCAAACACATCTAATATTCAACACTAAAATGTAAGCTATACATAAAGTTAAGAAATATTAATAGAAACAATGAAGAATTATTTTCCAACTTGCTTGTTCTAGTTTAGGGGGCAGGTGGCTGGCTATCCTGCCGGCTCAGGCACAAGATGGGAACCAACCCTGTGCCGGCACCATCACCCCCACCCCCACCCCACTCAGACGGATACGGTTCAGACACTCCGAGTCACCTAACACGCATACCTCTGGGATGTGGGAGGAAGCAGGAGTCCCAGAGAGAACCGGCCCAGACACGGGGAGAGTGTGCCAACTCCAGACAGACAGTGGCCCTGGCTGGGAATTGATTTTTCTTCCTCATCAACATTGTAACAAGACAACATTGAACAAAACCAGCTTATTCGAAGACCTGCCGTACTATCTCATTTACTACTTCCATTAGCCCAATAAATTATGGGTCTTATTAATACCATTCCAAGAGGATAAAATTGAGACCTAGAAACATGATTAAATTGCTGAAGATCACACAGGTAGTGAGTAGCAGAGTTCAAACCCTGCTAGAATTCCAACCCTGATCGTCTGAAGCCAAAATCCACCTGCTTGACAGTTAAACCATCAAGTCCCTTGACTTTGCCCGCAAAGTACCCCCATCTGCCACGGACAAAAGTAACACTACCAAGACATGATCTGCTTGGGGAGGAGAGGTGGCCAATTTCTCAGAGGAAAAAGGCCAGGAGCCCCTTCCTACAGGGGCTTTTATTAGGTTGTAATACACAGGAATACGGGCAGTAAGGATCAAACAGTAGATAACATTTCAAAGAAATCTGAGGGCTTAGTCTGAGTCAGTGTCTGTCAGGAAAGGGGGTTGCAGAAACTTTGGGAGACATACTCACTTCCTGCTCAGACCCTTAACATATGAATGAAAGCACTCTTAGCAAAGCAGGCTTCACAGGACTTTTAGGAATTCTTTCTTATGCCAGATCACCCTGGACCCCACTCTAGCCAGGCAAGAGGCTGCACTGCCTCCCCCATCACAGGTTTTCAGGCTTAAGTGGATTAGAACCATGAAGCGCTTCTCCCAGATGGAAATGGGGACTTGGGCTATGTCAGAATAGCCAGGGGCGGGGAACAAGAATCCATCTCTCCCTCTTTGTTACAGCCCCCCCCCCCCCCCCCGCCGAGTCCTTCCACGATGGCCTCCCAAGTGATCATGTCTCGCTTAGGTTGCCCCTCCTCTGAGGAGTCTATGCACCAGTCATGGACTAACTGACAAAGCTTTGGGGGCAAAGGAGGAAGCAGAGCCAGCGTTTGCTGCCAGAGACAAGCTTTGTCTCCTTAGTGGCTCGCATTCTGGAGGTTCCTCACTCAGCCTTAACCATGGGGGACAGTTACAACTCCTGAAACCAGGCAGAGCAGTTCCCAACAACCACACTGCAGGATTTCTCAGCCTCAGCAACTAACACACACACGGCCAGGTAATCCTTTTCTCTGAGGGTCTGCCCAGTAGGACTGCAGGACGCTTAGCAATTCAGCAAACATCGCTGGCCTCCGCCCACTAGATGCCAGTAGTGCCTTCTCTCCCCAGACCCCTCCCCTGCCTGTGGCAGCCAAAAATGTCTCCAAACAGTGTCAGATGTCCTTTTGGAGGCAACATTGCCACCACCCTCCTCCCTAGTTGAAAACCATTCTTCTACTTTAATCCTTCTTTGTAATGATTGTATAATGTCCTGCCATTATATAACTCAGAAATACCATTCTAATGATTAAAATATGTTTTCTTAAATGTTAAATTAGTGTTACAATCAAATAGGATTTTTGATTTTTAAAAAATCCTGACCTGTGAATATCTCTGTTGATTTTTAGGGAGAAAGGGAGGGGGAACATGGATGTGAGAGAGAAACATCAATTGGTTGCCTGCCATAAGTGCACCAACCAGGGATCGAACCCCGAACCTATATGTGCCTTGACCAGGAATCAGCAGCCATTTGGTATATGGGATAATGCTCCAACCAACTGAGCTGCCCAGCCAGGGCAGTAGTTTTGATTATTTTATAAAGAAAAATTTATATTTGAGAACTTAAAACAATCAGGTTCTTTGAAATCTCCCTCTTTGGTGTATTTTACATATAAAGCTAAACTTCATCAATGAAATAATAAGAAAGAGGTGTTTTATATTGCAAAGACTCTTACCTCCCTGCTTTAAATGCGCTACTGTTTTTCACCTGGTGTCCTTTAGAAGATAAAAACGAAGGAGACTTGTTTCCATAACAGATTTGACAGTGAAAGAGTTTATTTGATCACTGTATACAGAGATGGCCTAAGTTATAATCAAATAAAATAAAAATGCATGCATATGTACTTGACAATAAAAATAAATTCATTAGTCAATTATTTTAAAATTCATAATTCTATTATTTTCCTAAAATGTCTAATAAATCAACACAAAAGCTTTGGTTTTGGTTTTGTTTCATTTAAAATATATACTTAAATATATATTAAAAGCAAGTATTTTGCTATTTCTACCTATATCATTCACCAAATATTTAAGTGCCTACTCTTAGGTTACCTACTTTAGGAAAGATATAAAAATTAAAGTCAGCATTCCTGAGAAAATTATTTTAGAAACTAGTCATATATACACATCACCCTAAGAATAAGAAAAGACAGTATAAAGCAACTAATACGGTGTTTTACATAATTCACATTAAAGAAAAACAGACACATACACACACCAAAGTTAAGGAAGATAGTAAAATTCATTTACTAGGCATGTTACATATAAACAATTTGTCACAATTTTTTCCTTTTAAGAGTCCACATGAAAAAGCACAGTATGCATAGACCAGAAGCAACGTACATCAGACAAAAGCATCCTGGAGAGATTTAGGTTGTTAAGCTTTTACGACTTTTCCCCAAATCTTTTTAGGATTTGGGACAAAAAAATTTGGTTAAAAGCAAACATTCTATCCTTATGGTTTTGACCTATTATTCCTTCTTACCATAAAACAGAAAAAAAACATAATTTGCTACAAATTCCATAAAGTTTTTAATTATGGTGTTTAGTCTATAGTTACTAAGAAATGTTTTACCCACTATCATAAAAATAGAATTAAGAACACATCTGGCTAAATAAATCCAAAAGAGAGCGGTGGATTTTATTGAGTTTATACACAATGATATGTATTTAAGTGATGATACATTTTTAACCTTTTCCTGGGTGCAGTTTGGAAGTAAATTGCCTTTTAATAACCAACACGGGGCATCATGGTTGCAATCCAAGCAAGTAGCATCGCAACAAAATTATCTAGTACACACATGTTGCTTAGGGCTGTGCTGTTACCATAGTTACTACCGGATCAAACATCTCAGGAAAGCAGAACCACTAGTCTTTTAACTTGCAGGAAGTCAGCACTTTCGACAGATTACAAGCCTTCATTTTTCTTCATTTGGGGGCTTTTCCAATTGGTCTTGTGTTGCTTCTTCATTTTTCTTCTGTACATCTAAAAATAAATAGTTTTCATTCATATATTGAATATCCTAAGATATATTTTCTATTACATTGTAATAAAACCACTGGTCTTTTTCCTTTATGTACCCCAGTCATTTTCTATTTGGTTAAGACATACTTTGTCATCGGCCCAGCTTTTGGTTTTTATTAACAATTAGGAATGATTAATTTTAAACCCTTAATAATATTTGTAGTTAGATAATTTTTTAAAAATAGGCCTTAGATATGCTTACTTATAGATGTTTAATAAACATTGTCTCTTTGTCAATTTATCTACCTACATCAGTAAATGCATTTCCTTTTGTGTATTCTTTGATATCTGGAGTTATATATTGATTGTATTTTTAGCACTTTAAGTTTCTTAGTTGATGTCTGACTTTATTTCAAAATGATTTAAAGGAACATACAAAAGTAGTAAAAATATTCTTTCAGATAATGGTTACTTAAGTGACTAAAATGAAATGATGAAAACTATTAACTCTCCTACAGTACAGCTGTTCTATTTTCCTTAACTAATGTCAACACGTATTAAGGTTTTGTGTGTTTATTTTGGCCTTTTATATTAACAAGTAGCTTCTCTACCTCAGTAGTTGCGGATGGTCCTTCAACAGCTACATCATGTTCTGATAATCACAGATTAGTCCCCACTTTATCCACCCACAGTTTCACTTTCTGCGGTTTTAGTAACCATGGTCCAAAAATATGAAGTGGAAAATTCCAGATAAAAACATTCACACGGTTTAAACTGCGACTGTTCTGAGACGTGTGATGAAGTCTGGTGCCACCCTTCTCCCTTCCACCTGGGATGTGAACCGTCCCTGTGGCCAGCATCCCCAGCAAACACTTCCGCCCGTTAGTCACAGGGCAGCTGCCTCGGACATCAGACCAAGACCTCGGATCACCTGCTGCTGTATTGCAGGGTTGTGCTCAAGTAACCATTACTTTACTTAAAAGGGCCCCAAAGGCATTCCCATAATTTTTATTCCAGTGTATCATTATAACTGCTCTATTTTATTATTAGTCATTGTTATTAATCTTGGACTGTGCCTAATTTATAAATTAAACTTTACCATAGGTGTGTATGTACAGGAGAAAACATAGTGAGCGCAGGATTTGGTAATAGCTGTGGTTTTAGGCCATTACTGGGGGTCTTGGAACATACATCCTCTAGATAAGGGGGAACTTCTATTATATGACATTTTCAAACTTACAAGGCCAAAAACATTACACATATTTTATTTCTTTTCTTTTTATGTCTTTCATCTCTTTTCATCTTATGTGTATACTATTCTACTTTTACTTGCAGTGAACCATCTGAGAAATGCAATGACCTTTAGAAAAAGGTAAGATAACCGTGGGACTCCAGGATCTGACCACAGTCCCTTGCCTAACAATGATATATTTATTTCATAGCGATCAAACCAGGAACATTTGTAACTTTACCCGGTAATAACTTCCTGAGGTAAAGAACCAAGAGCCCTCCTCTGGGGCTAGCATTAATGGGGTAAATGTACAGAAGCTTCCAGCTCTTTTTTGCCTAATTGCCACCAGGAATAAATTTCCACACACATGGAGTCCACTTCGACATCTAAAATGGGATGACCTGGCAATTCCACTTCAAGGAATATATTCAAAGAAGCCCAAAACACTAATTTGAAAGAATATGTTCACCCCTATATTCATTGCCATGTTATTCACAATAGCCAAGATCTAGAAGCAGCCAAAGTGCCCATCGATAAATGAGTGGATAAAAAAGCTGTGATGCATTTGCAAAATTGAATACTACTCAGCTGTAAGAAAGAAGGAAATCTTACCTTTTGCAACAGTGTAGATGGACCTGAACAATACTATGCTAAGTGAAATAAGCGAGTCAGGGGAAGAGAAATACCATATAATTTCACCTATATGTGGAACATAATGAACAAAATAAACTAACAAGCAAATTGGAAATACAATCATAGATACAAAGAATAGACTGACCGATATCAGAGGGGAGGGGGTTGGGGGACTGGGTGAAAAAAGGTAAGGAGTTAAGAAGAATTAAAAACAGGCGTAGCTATAGACAGAAGTATGGTAATTGCCGGAGGGATGGGGGTGGGAGGAGGTGGACGAGGGCACAGGAGAGACAAATGGCGGTGCGTGTACAATACAGTGTGCAAATGATGTGTTACAGGGTTATATGCTGGAAACCAATGTCACTCCAATAAATTCAATTAAAAAAAGAAAACAAATAAAATAGGGCCCAAGCCATGGGTATTTTGGTAACGACTTAAAACTGAAATTATCTTTAACCTCTTTGAGTGTTTTTTAAATGAAGAAACTCTTTTAAACCTTTATTAAAATTATCATTGCATTTAATTCTCAGAAAACTAACTCTGCAAGCTCTATGAACTGTATGTAAACCATGGGAAGAAAGAACCAAGATTTTCTTTCCTTGGCTTGACAGATCTCCCTTTTTCTTAGTTCAGCTACTGGTGGAAGAATGATCACCTTTTATACAACTACCTTAAAGATCTCCTTTCTAGTTGATAAGTAAACTTCTAAGAGAAATAGCTAAGTTTATAGAATACTGCTGTGAAGCTTCCAGGATGATTTGCCAATGGATGGCAGAAGAAAAGTTATATTGTTTCTGAGTACTTCTTGATTAATTGTATAAGTTTATTGAAGGAAAGAATAATTCCCAGTCATAAGGACTGTGCTTGATAATACAGATCCAATGAATAAATAAATGTTGTTTCCACCTACACACCAGGAGATAAAAAGATGAGATTGTCCACTTTCAGAAAGCCTGAAAAATCTACTAGCCTTAAACAAAAGCTGGAATGTTTTAGTAAACAGTAAGGAAAAAACACTTAAAAAGGAGACTTTCAGAGGAAGGAATTAAGAGAGAAGCTTGGCTGATTTTAATGGAATTTTGCAGTTACCTTCTTTGATGGAGAGGGCCTGCAGTTCAAGGGGCAGCCCTGAAATTCCGCCTGTCCCAGTAGAACCCTGGATGTCTGGGATGGCATTCCGGCGGCCTGCCCTTGCTGAAGATGCAAAATTGTTGGCCGCAGCCTCCACATCAGTCATGTCTGAAGCATCTGTCCTTATAGCAACATCTACAGATAGAATGTGAACATAGAGAAAAGGATGAGCCTATTCTGAGGCAAATGTTCACACCAGTGGCTGAAAGTCATGAGTTGATCAAATACACAACAGCCTTGAAAATCTAATCATGGATCCCACCCTGCATCTGTGTCCACTGGGCTGGCGCTGGAGTTTCCAACTCCACATTCGCTCAGTGGAGCAGGAAGTTCTCAGTGTAAGCCAGATTGCTATAGGTAACCCCTGAGCCAAAAAGAGCCACACGGATGTTTTAAGGTGCAATAATCTCTTACCTTTTGTTCTGCTTTTCTATGGAGGGACCAGTCAAAAGGGACTTGGAAGGAAATGAACACTGACTTGTTTGACCATTCTCTTACAGATTCTGCCTGCCAGGATTTGCTTTGGGAACTCGTTCAGCTTGAAACCAAATCACTGTAATTTGTGGGAGCAAACAAAACATATGCTGTTCCTACTCTTTAGAAATAAGAAATTAAACTTTGTCTCAAAGGCTTTTCCCTCCAGTGACAGCTGTGTATCTTTATCTGTTCTCTTCTTAGACCTAATTTTCAATGCTGCATATTCATGCTGGGGAGAGTAGGACTTGTACAATCTTTTCTTGCTTTCAAGTGGACATGGTAATTACTAGTGCTTTCCTAAGCAATCTTCATCTTCCCAGCATCTGTCTGTCTCTATGAAAAGATTCTCAAGAGATCATTTACCATACAGAGAAGGAAGGAGCAGATATTGCTTATTCTAAAACTCTTTCATATGATTTGTTCTTTTATTAACCTTTAAAAAATTTTAATTGCAGTCGATGTGCAATAATATATTAATTTCAGGTGTACAAGCACATGACTAGACATTTATATAATTTATGATCACCCCGACGAATCTAGTACCCATCTAATACCATATATAGCCATTACAATATTACTGACAATATTCCCCATGCTGTACTTTACACCCCCATGAAGATTCTTTTTTTTGATTTAATTAATTTTATTTAGTTATTTTTCAAGTACAGTTTTTTTGTCTATTTTTCCCATCCCAGCCTCCCCCACCCCGTGCTCCCCACCTCCCTCCCATTTCTACCCCCCTTAGTTCTTATCGCTGTGTCCTTCCTATTTGTTCCTCCAAATTCCTCCCCCTTTTCCCCCTTAACTTCCCTTCCTTCTCCCCTCTGGTCACTAAGTACATCTTTGCCCTTTTTTACCCATTCCTCCAACCCCCTTCCCTCTGGCAACCATCAGAATGTTCTCTGTGCCATACGATGCTTTCTAATGAGTCTTTCCTAAGAAGTCAACACTGAACACTATCTCAAAAGCAGGAGCAGCAGGAACAGGAGGAGCAGGAATAAGCATGTGCCAAGAAGCTGTTAAGTGCTCTCAGCTGGGCAACGAGAGCACAGAGGCACGATGTATTCCCTGTGTTTAGGGGACTTGCACTCTCAAAGAGAAGAACAAAGGTATATGCAAAGACACATCACATCATAACACAGAGTGAGCTGAGTGGCAGCCAAAGAAGGGAAATGATAATCATTTGTGCACTGGAGGGCAGAAATACATGCACCTTGGCCTACAGAAAGCAAATCAAACTTTTCTTTGTAGTTGGAAGAGAGCCCTTCCCAATCAGTTAACTTCAACTCAGGAAATGCTAAAAATGAAGGGAAACAGTTACAAAATATGGTGCATTTGATATGAAAAATGCAACTCTTGGTCTATAGCACTCAAGAAATGCACATTGACCTTAGTGTTGCCCTGAGGAATCCAGGAGTAATCTAAGCTACATTCCAGATATTTTTATCTTTTTAGAAATTAAGGAAAATTTGAGGACAATGCTAGATATTCAGACAAAATTTTGGAATCAATTAGACTTCTGTCTAATATTTGCCAACTGCCTGGCATTGACAGTACAGGGTAATGTACAGAGCACTGGGATATCAGTCAAAAAGAACATTATAGGCTTACAAGGTGATATTGGTTAATCCGTTTAATTTCTCTAAGTGGTGGTCCCTCCCCTATATAGTGAGTATAAAAAGATGGCCTGACTGATTCACAGGATTCTTGTGAAAAACTAATGAAATAAAGGACATAGAAACTCTTTGTGACTATAAAGCCATATGGTTGATTATTGGCCTCATTGTTCATGTCTCACTGAGTTTTATTTACTCTACTACTCTTCTAGGTTCCCCTTTAACAAGAAATATCTTCCTATTGGAAGACCTCTTAAGTTTTCTAAGAGGGAAATGAGTTTTCTAAGAGGAAACCTAGGAGATAGTAAGGAGTAACCCTCACTCCATGGACATGGAAACTGGAGCTCAGGGAGGTTAAGTGACGTATTTGAAGTTGCCCAGCAGCTAATCTGGCATCCAGGGATGTAAATTCAGTTGCCATTTACTCTGAAAGCAAGATGACATGGATTACCACAGAATTAACTTTCTAAATCTCTGAGATATGTATAAATACCCACACAATAGCAAGTTTAGATTCTGCCTTACGTGGCTTTTAAAAATATATGAATAAATAAATGTTGTTATCTTGTGAGCACCCCTGTGATACATGGGTGATCTTTCCATGAGGGATCGCATCTCTCCTTGGGAGCAGGACCTGACACCAGTTTGGAAACGGATCTCATTTGCTGGCCTCCACTCTGTCCTCACTCAGTTCACAGCACATCCGAAGCCATGGCAATGATCCAATGTTAATAATTTCTGTGAAACATCTTCCTGTGAAATTACAACTAATTATGCTAAGCCTGAAGCAACAGTTCTATGAATAACATGATTATTACTGGCCAGATAGTCCAAAATCTTAACAAACTTGAAAATAAAGGCAGATTAAAAATTAAGATAAATAATTATATGCCATAGAATTTATGTTAAGTATATGAGTAAACTGGGTTTTTTTGTGTTTTTGGTTTTAGCAAAACAGGATGAGTGGAAGGAGCAATCAAGTTAGCCTTTGTATGTTGAAAGACAACTTCCAAAAGGTGGTCTGTAGAACAGGCTGTCAACATGGAAGGAGAGACTCTGGGCTCCAAGTGTATTTCAAGGTTTCTTTGCTACTGGCTGCCATTTTGGAAGTTTTGGCTTTTACCTTATTATTTTTCTAAATTAGTTCTTTTGTGGATTGGTGTTAGAGAACAAGCTCATCACAAAACTAAAAGTTTGACAAAGTTAGCTCATTAACTCTCCTTTTAAGATAAAAAACAAAACTGGATATGCGGGGAGGCCAAGCAACAGGCTGCTTTTCTCTGGAGCTTCACTCAGTCATTTCCCAGCCGCCACTCGGCACCACCTTTGCTTCAAGCCCAGCACCGATGCTGAGTGACCAGGTCTTCTGGCTCCACCACAGGATGAACAACTCTCCCAGCCCAGTCCCACGGGACTGTGGGGAGAGGAAGCTTGTACAGTGGAAAGTCGTCTGATCTTCCCGACAGAAGGTATCTGTGACTTAGAGGTCCTTAGATGACTGCAGTATACGAACCCACTGGGTGATTCTTAACTGGATTCATTTAATTCCCTGGCAAGGAGGAATATTGCAGCATTGATAATATTCCAAAAGCCCATAAAAGAGAAAATGGTTAAGAAAGTGGTATATATTATATTATGAAACATTATACAGCTGTTGTAAAAAATGTATTAAATCCAATCAGATCTATCTATGGGGATGTGTCCATGATAGATTTTGAAAGAAAACAAGTTTAAAAAGTAATATGTATAGTCTGTGTATGTTGGGAGCAAATAAGAATATAATGTGATTTCAACATTGTAAAAAGAATAAAATCCTAGCTGGGGATGTGAGAACAAGGAGAATATTAACCGTTTTTCAGTACCTTCTTACATATTTTAACTTGTAATAATGTACCTATTACTTTTGTAATTTAAAATAATTAAAAGATAGTCACCTGGCAAAATTATGAATACACAGATATTCTAGCAGAGAAAGGCTCTAAAAATAACATTTGGGTAATTTAACCAAAAATAGCATCCCTCTAATTAAAAGCTTCTCTGTCTTCCTAATAGTCATCTTACTTGTCTGTTACTATCCTATGCAACAATGATCGCCTATGCTTTATACATATAAACGTTGCTCTCTCCAAATGCTTTGCGTAATTTAAAAAGTGTATAGCCTATCAGAAGATGAAGAAACACTGCTAAAAAAACAAAACAGAGATTAACTTGCAGGTTCTTTTACTGTTCTGAGCTTAAAAAGCTAAGTTTATGTTTGCTCACCAAGACAGCTGACTCACTAGGAATTCCCTTTTTCTTCTACAGAATTAGAAGAGAAATTTGGATGAGTTCTGCTTTATCAACTGTGGCTGCTTGCAGGAGCTGAAACCATTTGAACATTTGGAGATTCCTCAGAAGTCCTTGCATGCCCACAGCAAGATAATGTGGTTAAGATCGCCTGCGACAAATTCCTATCTCTATTGCAGACACACAAATTTCAGGATGCCTTAACCAAAGACTATTACAGAGGCATATACACACATATTGTATAATCCAGCATCTTTGCAGTCTTTGGAGCAATAGCAGCACCACTGAGAAGGACAAATATGTTTAAGCTAAATGGAGCACTGGAGGAATATATACATTTAAAAAAATCACTGGTCAACTTTCAGTGGGCTCAAAAGAGCCTGTAATGAAAAATATATGTTATATAAGTATGCTTTTAAACAAATAGGTTTTGCAAACTATTTTCTTCCCAACTGAAACAGTCCATACTTTTATCTTTCACTTATTCTTTTCTGAAGCCTTTTTTAAAAAGATTTTATTTATTTATTTTTAGAGAGAGGGGGAGGGAAGGAAAAAGAAAGGGAGAAAAACATTGATGTGTGGTTGCCTCTCAGATACCCCCAACCAGGAACCTGACCCTGCAACTGAGGCATGTGCCCTGACTAGGGACTAACTGGTGACACTTTGGTTCACAGGCCAGTGTTCAATCCACTGAGCCACACCAGCCAGGATTCTTTTCTGAAGGTGCTTTACTTGAATCCAAGCCTGCAAGAAGGT